TCAGCAAGAACACTTTCTTGCAGTTAAGTACCCTTTAGAGGGTCAAGGCCACAGCAGTCCATCTGCATCTTATTTTGCTCCTCTGGGCAACTTGGGAGGTTAAAGAAAAAAGGCTGAGAACATTTTATTTCCTCTCAGGGCTCATTTTCCTCCCTTACACCACTAGATGTCTAGCCAGCTTCACAATTGGGTTGAGAGCACAGGGCAGTCAAACATTAACAGGATGACAAAGCTGCTCTGGTGGCAGCCTGCACTGACGCACACCCTGATGAAATGCAAGAAGGTGTTTATTAGCAAGAGAGCTGAAAATAAAGTGGCGTCCTGCAGGTGTTGCATAGGCAAGAGGAGAGGCAGGCTAGCATCCCACGGCTGCACTCAGGCTTTGGACACAAACCTAAGGGCACGTCTTCATTAAGCTGTTGTTTAAGGATGCTTTAAAAAAAGGCAGTGTTTCACCAAGTCCAATGACTGGTGCTGGAAATGCAGCACAGCAGAAGCACCCAGGTGGAAGAGTGTTTTGGGAATGGGTTACTGGCGCTGTAAGAGGACACCAGCAGGAGGCGAGGTGACAGCAGCACAAGGAAAAGCAAAAAGCACAAACTGAAAAAGGCTATCTTGGATTTTTTGGACCGAGACTGGTCTGAACTCTCTGCCGCCTCCTAATACAGCCAAAGATTAAAACAACACCGTGGAAATGAAAACAGCGCGTTAAGGAAACTGACAACCGTGCTGTTATCTGCTCCTGAGCCTCCTCCTGCACGCTGGCCAAGGAAGCAGCTGCTCCACCCCGATAGCAGCACAACTTATCAGCGTGTTATCTGCACGTTATGTGGCAGCAAGAGAAATACTAGAGGAAAGGGAATGATCACGAGGCACGCGTAAACACTTGCACGGGGCTGCAGTGAAGATCTGGCAGCAATTAACAGAATTGCCATTTCACACCTTACTGCTAAGATGTGACAGCATGTGTAGGAGCACTTTTGTTTTTAGGAGCATCAGGGCCTTCACGTATTCAGCCTCCATGAAAAGAGTTATTTTAAAAGGGCACTCACAACTCAAAGATTTTACCTAGATCTTCCTCAATCCCCAGCTGCAGTTTCTTGCCCTCCATCTTCTCAGTGTCTTCGTCGTTGAATTTGTACCACTCTCCTGTCTGTGGGTCCTTCACATGGGCGATGTAGTGCCCTGAGTATGCACTCACACCTCGGTGTATGAGAACAGCACTCAGTTTGTATACATAAGCACCATCTGGAAGGGAAACAGTGGTTATTTAGCTCCTGCTTTCTTCCCCAGCACTTCAGCTTTCTGCAGGGTAGCATGCAAAGGCTGCACCTAGCTGCCCAAGCCCTCTTCACATTGCTAGTTAGAACTCCTGCAACCTGCCCAGCTAGGCACAGGCAGCTGCTGCTCAGGCTTCCAACAGCTCTGGACAAACTCCCCAGCTATGAGCAGATTCAGACAAGATCCCCTCTCGTTTGTTGAGAAGTAACTGCCAATTACCACAGCGTGCTACTCACTTTGTTGTTCCATAAAAGGCTTCATGTCGAGCACCTCAGAGAAGCCAATGTAGGTGTTCAGCTTTTTCTTATGGCCGGTTTGTCTGTGCGAAGGCAAATGGCCAAGCTTCAGTTCAGGGGACAGCAATAACAGTTCACATCTCACAGTAACTTTCCTCGAAGCCCACCGAGCATCCCAAGAGAAGCTCATGCACGCACTCAATCCTCAACATCTCAAACCAATCCAGAAAGAGCAGAGCAGATGGCTTTCCAAAGGGCTTCCGAGCACCCAAGGCACTCCTGCTTTTACAGCATGTGCTCCAGAGGGAGGCTTACCTATCAAACGTTAAACGTATCAGCTGCAGGTTCAGTGTGCGTGGAAGTCTTAGCAGCCTGATCTTCCTTGTGGCATTCTGTTTACTCTGACAGGTTTCACAAAAAAGAGGATTGTCTCCTTCTAGTTTTTCTTCCTGACCGGGGAAGGGGGGCAGAAAGAAAGATCTTGAGAACAGGTTACCCCTGCAGTCAGCCCCTCAACCCGAGCCACCCACGGGAGACTGGAAAGCACTGAAGTTATTTTAATCATTGAAGTCTCCACCCAGCGGCCTTCCAAAATAATCTACAGGTCGGAAATTTGCAATCCTCTGGGCTAATAAGGGCACTTCATAGCATAGTCATAGCAGACCTCTGTCACTTTAAACGTCAAGCCAGACCTCAGGCTGCTTACAAGGCTGCCAGGTTTGCTCTCCACTTGACCGAAGTGCATCAAGTTGGTTTAATACCACTAGGGCTAAGGAGAAAGAAAACAAAGCAGCTGCCCTTTTAGGAGATCACGCAGACCAAGTTAATGTACAGCCACATTCTAGCCTGGAAATCGCAGTCCTTTGGGGCCAGAAAAACACACATCAGCCAAAGAAAGGAGAGTCTGTGCCTGGACAGTGCCAGCGGCAGGATTAGGCCTGAGAACTGCAA